ACATGGAATGAAATACTATATGCATATCTGTTGAAGAACTATCAAAACTTTTCCTAACTTCATGGTTAATAACCATGACTGAAAAGAAAAGCACATGCATCACACATATGGGGGAAACATTCATAATTTTTCATTAGTATGCCATTCTATTTTCTTTTTGAACACTTTTTGGATTGTAATCAGATAATCGATTAACTAACTATCAGTGTAGAGATACACACCATCTGTGAACAAAGGAAAATTTGGCAGACCTGCAGAGAAAAGAATTTAAGAAAGGGAATCTTTTCTTAGAAGTCTCGTTGATTATTCCGACAGAAAATAGTTTATTATCATTATTTTAGCATGTTATTCACGGAAACCTAGACAATATAATTTCAGCAAGCACAGCCACCTTTGACATGCACGATTGCAAATAAATTAAGCAGTAAAATTTGTTCCATATTTACATAACATGCCACCTGAATGTATTTATAGTAGCTCCCACTCAGTTTCAGAAGCCTGCTGCACTTGCAAATTCTCTGCGTTCGCATATGTTCTGGAACTAAATAGGGCGCGAGTTTGTGGCGTATCTTGATTTGGCTCCATATCAGCATCTCCATACCATATTGCTAGTTGTTCATACTCCTTTGCTAACCTCTTCTTCGAAGAAAATGCATCCTGGATTCTTTTCTGTCGCATGAAAAATGAAAGTAATGTAATATGCATAAGATTTCTTCATTTTCTTAATAGCATAACTTATTTCATAAAATAAACTTTTTCGTTTTCTTCTACATTTTTTTCCTCCATAAAATACAAGGAAATGAGAGAGATATGCGAAAGAAACTAGACTTTCTTCTATAACTAAAAGTAACTATAGCTATATGCGAAAGTGTCTTATTTAGATTGTGTGCAGTTTTTCCGAAATGATTAGCTGTGCTAATTTTAATAGTAAAATAAGTATTATTTACTAAAACACTCTTATTAATTATAGTTAGTGGAGTGAAATTCAATTAAAAAATAACAACAAATGTTATTATTGTATATTAGTGGAAAAATAACAATAAATGTTATATTGATATTATAAAGTAACAATTATTTTGAGATAGAAAAAGTGACAACATTTTTTAAGAGATAGCAGGAGTAATAGGTAAGTTTAATTATTCTAAACAAAACACATAAGATTATAAGAATACCAATATATGATCTACTTAAAGCAATAATTTTACTCATTGCAACGCTTATTAGAAGAGACTACGGGAGTACCTTATACGATCTAAGCTTTTGGATTCTGTATGAAACCGCATAGAGTTCACTATCAGCCACAAATACACAGCTTTCTTCAAGCTTTGTATCATTATTCAATTGAATGTCTTCCAAGCTTGATTCTATAGAACGTGAATCACCTTAACAACAACACAAGCAAAAACAATATCAGATAAGTAACAATACACTTTGAACAGGCTCATGAAGATCATTAATTATAAGATTTCTATGAAATTTTCAGTTCTTATCGTTATTTGAGAATTTGTTTTTCGTTGCTTTTTTAAATACCACCATTGATTTGAATTTTATCCATACAATAAAATATTCAACAAAAACTAGAATGAACGTAGTAAGTATAACGACATGTGATGACAGTTAAAAACAGCATTGTAGTAATATAACTTCAACTTCAAATAAGCATTAATCATGAAAACATTTCAAATTACAATTAAGAACTTTCAAATGATAAACATATCCGGTGTTGTAATATTCCAAACAGTCCACTTTTCCATGAATCAATACTATAGGCAGCTGACTAAGTACCCTCAAAACTTAAAATCTTAGTCGAGATCACCCAATGCAACATTGAAAATCTAAAAGAAAGAATATTGATGCCAACAAAATATTGACAACATGAAAGTAAAATAGTAACATATAATTAACTGTTTTTCTGGTCTGTCTTCAAGCATGTAAAGTCAGCAAGTTTCCTGGTCATATAAATATGATATTTGTACAGATGGCTTCACGTGTGCGTGTCATAAGGCCAATAGCCCATATAGCATGGCAACACATTTAAATGCATTTAGAGGTTTTATCAAGTTGAATTTTTTTTTTCAAATAAAGGTAACATTTTAAACAATCATTGATTATATCCCTCAACAGGGAAGGCTTCTTTTGTTGTTATATTTTGCTATAGCCATGTATTGAGCAGATGATATAAGCATTGCCTGATTCTAGATGAATTATCAAAAGGTACTTCATTGACCTTGGAAGTATCTCCTAAGCCCGCATGTACTATTAAACAAGACAATACATGAGAGGGTGTTATAGGATCAACTGATCATGTAGCCGACCCATCTAGTAGAGAAAGGCTTGGGCGGTGTAATTGTTGTAGTCTTAAACAAGAATTCAAACAAAAGTTCCTGAAAATTTAAATTTAAAGAAAACTAACCATTTGATTCTATTGGTTGACAGCGACAAGAGGAAACAATTCCATCATGGGATTCCTTGACCTGGCCAGCTGTTTGGGAGGAATCGCGGCAAACATGTGCCATGGAACTATCTGAAGTACACAAAGCAACATACCCTGAACTGCATTTGTGAGATTCTGAATATGAACTATCAGAAACTAAAGAACATTTGATGTCTGAAGTTCCTGTCTCTGTGGTATTAGGCCTTTTACATGACGCATATGATACAGCAGGTGAAACTTCAGCTAGTACATCATTATCGCCCTTATCAACATCAGTTAATTCGTTGAATAAGGAGGCTTTACTTAATTCTGTCTCACCAACAGACGGGAAATCCAACACTTCTGCACTAGATAAACTCATATTATTTTCTTCAAAAATCAAACACGGGTCTTGTTCAACATTTACTTTGTCAGTATCCTTAATTCCCACCGAAACTCCAGATGCACTATCAAAAGAACCATGATAGGATTGACTATGTATTGAAAATTCAAGGGATTCCTTCTCTTTAACAGATATCAAACTCTCTAGCTCAGAAGCAGACATGAGGGCAGTCTCATCAATGCTTGCATGCAAGTCTTCTTTTTCAACCACAGAAGTTTCTCTAGAGTCATCAATAACCTCTTTTTGACTAATGAAAGAATCTTCCACATCCAGCAAATCCGTGCGAGTTTTGCTATTAACTTGATTTACAAGTTCATGTTTGTCAGGATGACCCGCTAGTTGAACATCGGCAAGATCAATTGCATTACAATCCTGCAACGATTCAATAAAATTATTCACAAGATTTTCCTCAACCCCGTTTTTATTTTTATGTTCGTCTTCAACACTACAACCCGACTTAAATGATAAGCCAATATTATTTCTTAAAGCAACTGAATGAGCTTCATATTTTGTAGGAGCAGGACCGGACAAGGCAGGAAAAGGTCGTAGGTCATATACAACTTCAGAATATAACTTTTTCATACTGTCCCCAACATTGTGGACCCGATTCTCAAGATATTTAACAGCATCCTGAATCAAGACAAATAAAAGAGAGAGAAAAAAATTCATACAATAACTCTACGAATGAATGAAGAAGAGGAATCCATCCAAAATCAAATATCAAACCAACAATGAAACAGCACCTGGCCTACAATACCATCCACCTCATGGCACGCTGCTTCAAACTTCTGGTAAATATTCCCCACCCAATTTGTACGTTTAACCTTTAAACTCATCTTGAACTTGTAACACCGCGCCGGAACTAGAATTGAGAAACCTCAAGTTTATAAAAACTAGAATGCAATTGAATGATATAGCCAACAAACAGTTGTTCACAAAATAGTATGGCATGATGATAAAAATATAAAGAGTGTAATATAAAAAGTAAACCCTAAAACATCAATTACCCCAAGTTCAAAATTGATAAATAATAAAATTCAAGCCATTGGTGCTATCAGATTCAGCATAACAATAATAATAACTTGATAAATAATTTCAAAAGAAAAGGGAAAAGGTGCAAACTTTAACGCCACGCAAAGACTATGGTCAAAATTTCTGGAAATCCATAGGTTTGTAATTGAGCTGAATTAGGAGCGGAGAAATCAAGGAAACACCGACGATGATCGGTGTTTCCGGCAAAATAGAGAGGAAGGTGAGAAAGGGTTTTGTGGCAGAGGAGGAATAGAATCTGAATGAGGGTTTATGTAAGCAACTTTCTATCTTTATATTTAAATCATAATAAATGTGTACAATGGTTATAAATAGGGAATTTTAATTTAACATTGAAGAAATAGTGAATTGAGATCTTTGTTCTAATATGTCAAAGTAATTAAACGTGGAATTAAAAATTGATAATAACAATGATAAAATAATATAGACTATAGACATTTTTTACTTTAAGAGAAACAACTTGTTTATAAAAATTAATGTTAATAAGTGTAAAAACAAGAAAGAGTGTATTTTTAACTTTTAAATTTATTCATTATTTAAGGATCTTGTCATTTATTGGTTCACATAATAATGTGATATATATTTTTTATAATAGAGAATTTATAATTGTTTATTAATGATAATATAATTGAGAAATTTAAATAGTAATTTAAATCGTTGTTTCTTCACCTTTTTTATTCTTTAAAATTCATGCGGTCGTTGTTCCGTGTGATGGAAACAAAAAAAAAACATGTTCAAACGGTTATAATTTCTCCTTCTTTACGAAGTTTTGACATCTTTTCAAAACGAACATTAAGATTGTGTTTGACCAGTTCTTTGCTAATATGGTTCTAATTTGATTCTAAACGTGACCTCTTTGGAATATTTTTTCTCCCGTCTCACTTATTGTGTCTCTATTTAAATTGATTACAAAGGTCTTAGCTTTAAGACTGACATTAGTTATGGATAGGCTCGCTTCTCATGGTTAATTAACTTTTATCAAATGTAGATAGTTGTTCGATCAGGTGGTAGCACTCTATGACTTAATAGACTCTAGGAAGGAGTCTAATAAGGATTGTCATGTCTTTAAAATTGATTTTGAGAAAGTGTATAACTCGATTAATTGGAGTCTCATAAGGATTATGTGTGTGTGTCTTCATGTAATATCTTTGTTCTAATGAATGGTTGTACAACCCAAGAGGTCAATATTCAATGGGGTCTAATGTAGCGGGCATTGCTTTTTTTTCTCTTTTTGTTAGTTGTTAAGGGGTTGAGTGGTGCAATTGTGAAGGTAGGGAACATTGGGATTTTCTTGGGTTTTAAGGTTGGATCCACGGATCTAATAGTTTTTCATACACACACAAATGGCACATTGATCCTAGATGGTGTCATAATTTATAATCTTTGTGCTATCATAATAGTTGTAAATATTATATTGTAGATAGTAATATTTTTATAGTTATTTTATTTTATTAGTATGAGGATCATTAAGTAAATCTATTAGGTTTAAATTTATCTATATTTAAGCAAGTTTATTCTACTATTGTAAATTATAACTTTGGAATATATCAAAATATTTTTACATGATATCAAAGTTCTCGACTTTGGGAATTTTGCTTTCGCTTAAACCCTAGACGTCATCATTGCGGTTTGTTTCATTTTTATTCCGTTTTAATTGTGGGCTCTTTGAAATTAAAAAAAGTTATATTTCATGAAACAATGTTCATTTTGTGCATATTGTTCATTACGAGGCATTGTTCATCCCAAAAGTATTGTTCAACGGGCAATACAATTCATTCTAGCAAAATAGTTCACGAATAAATACTTTTTATCCAATTTTTAAATAAAAGAATCACATTAAAAAGAAGAAAAAAAACTATAGTGGAACTTGCGTGTCTCTTTGTTACTATTGTTGGGACTTGATTTGTTCTTGTTCTCGTGAGAAGACATTTTTGCAAAGATCAACCAATATTATTAAAAATAGATCTAATGTGATTTCTGCATTTAATATTGTCAATATTGGCTCTAAGAATGTTTGTATTCTTGACTCTGGTGTCACTCACTCACATGACATTTGATTCTTAACATTATTTTTGAAGAATATTTCTCCTTTTTATATTCTATAAATTATTGTTGGTGATTGTTCTCATATTAGAGTTGACGGTTGTGGAAACATTGATCTACATTCTTTTTTATTGAAATGTGTGATTCACGTTCTCGGTCTATCAAAAGACTTTATCTTTACTTGCAAGCTTACATAGGATATTAATTTTGCAGTTATATTTTTTATTCTCATTGTACTTTTTAGGATCTTGCAATAGGGAAGATGATTGGAGTTGTTAAGGAACATGGTTATACTATCTCTCTGATGAACAAACAAATAAGAAAGTGTTGACTTATATATTTCAATCCCATATTGAATCTTCTCTTGTATCCAAAATATGGTTTTAACGCGAGCGTCTTGGTCATCCTCTTTTTTCATTAATGAAATGTATGTTTCCATCCATGTTTTCAAAACAATCTGGTGAGCCTTTTAAATGCGGCATTTGTTAGTTTTATAAACATAACATGATTAATTTTCCTTCGAGCCATACTAAAAGTGTTGAATCATTTGATCTTATTCATTCTGATGTTAGGGGACCAACCATTGTTTCTAACATTTCTGGTGCGAGATTGTTTGTTTCTTTGATTGATGATTGTTCTCAAGTAACTTGGATTTTCTTGATGAATAATAAATCAGAAGTGCCACAATTATTTATTCAATTTTTTAACATAGTAGTGATCTAATTTGGACCTTATTTATTTTGGTGAGAGATTTAACTTCAATAGGATAATGGATTTCAATAGTGTTTCTTTCGTTAATGTATTTCTCGGCGTGGAGAAAAAGGGGGTGGTACATACAAACACTCTATAGCCAAAGTAAGTGGTACATGCAAATATGCAAAATCCGTGCATGCTCTATTTAAGTCTAAATAATCAATGCACATATGTCACTTCTTATTGGCTTTCTGCACCAAAACTACATTAGATAGTCAAGTTGTGCTTTTTTCCTTAGTTATGAATTAAACTCTGGTGATTTCTTTGAGGACTCTTAGTTTCTTTTACTTTTTCTAGTGATTGTTCCCTTCTGCATTGTGCTACGTATAAAGTGTTATCATGAAGTGATAAAGCACGACATGCCACTTCAGGGTTAAAGATCATGGATAACAAGACTCAAGAAGTAACTAATAAGCCTTCATAATAACATAACTTTTATTATGACAACAATTAAAGTAGTAACAAAACTTGAAATGATTTTGATGATAACAACACATGAATTCAAGCAATTCTAAAGTTATCTCTAGCGAAAAAAGATGCACAATACGGTTGATCAAGGTCAAGCTATATTTTGAATCAAACTAAATATAGCTCAAATGATGAATTAGGGTTTATGATTATTTTAGTGATATATTTACTCTTTAATGATGGTGATTAACTTGAATATATCTCAAGCCCCATCCAATAGAATGCTCAAGGTTCCAGTGAAGTGCTTATATGATTGGTATGTTCTACAAAGGAACTTAAAAGCTTTAGAATATGAAATAGAGGAAGTGTAAAAACCTGTGTGATTGTGTCCGTCAGAGTGATCAGTATATTGTAAAGACATAAGAGAGTTTTTGGAAGTAGTATGGATAAATCACACACATGCACACACTAAAAAGTATTTTGAAGCCTCTCTTTTAATAAAAATCACCAAAAATGTTTTTGGAGCCTAGTCAGTTGACTAGGAAATTGTTCAACTAATTAGAAGACTTTTTGCAATCATCTAATTGATTAGATCCTTGACCTAATCGATTAGATAAGAAATAATTGAGTCTATAATTTATTGTGACAGTTTCTTAATGACTAGTAATGACTCTCTATCAAAACCTTCTAATTAGGACACAAATAATCGGCTATTAACATTGTCTAATTAATTAGCTAATCAATTAAGTTATTTATTTGGCCATGGATTATTTCCAAAATTACACCATTTCTTGGCCTATAAATACAGAGCTTATGTTTCATTTCAAATCACCCAAAAAACATGAAAAAAACTCACTTTTCCTTTTTCTCATAATCTTTCTAAATCATTTCTATTTTTTCACATATTTTAGCCATAGTGCTTTGAGAGTGTTTTTGAGTTTAGCGAAAAATTTATTCTTGGTGAGAGATTTACTGTAAATTTACCAAGAGTAGTATTTAATCTTGAGTAAATCACTTTTCCTTAGTAAGTGGTTATTTTGGTTCGTAGCTAAATCAGTGTAAAAGTTCTTTTGGGATTTGCATTAGTCTTTATTTGGTTCGTCAGCTCCACCATTGAAGATAAGATCTCTTTTGGGTTTGTGAAGTATAACTAGAGAAAAATCTTCACAGCGGTTCTTGAGATTAACCCGATCAAAAGCTCTACTGGTTTGAGACCAGTCTAGTATAAAATCTTACTCAACTTTTGAGTTCAGTTTGTGTAAAAGCTTAGTAGGTTTGAGATCATTCTGGAAAAAATATCAATTTGGCCAGTGGTCAGCCCGTGTAAAACCTTGGTTATGTTCGGATGATATCCAATTCAAAGCTCTATCTTGTTTAAATATAGTCCTTTACAAAATTTCAATTTCACTTAGAGACTAGCCGCTTGATGCTCTATTCATTGTTTGGTGCAAAGACTACCTACTTCATTCTTTAGTTCGTTGTTTGGTTGGAAGAGATTCATGAGCTTAACCTTCTAAAATCTCTCAAGCATTAGTGAATATACTCAAGACCAATTTTTAGGGAGAGGAGTAAGTCACTTCTT